TGCACTTAGACGAGTGCGATACGTTTCCAGCGGAACTTCTTGTGGGACCAAGAAACGAGCTCGAAGAGCTTTCCGTGTGGTAAGTTCATCATTCGTTCAGGCAAGGGGCCCGATGATGTGGATGTGTAACGATCGAGTTACCACGTCCTTTGCTGTCACAGCGAGATCCGCTGGGCGGAAACCATACTCCACACGAGGGTCAATGACCGACCGCGGATGGGCGCGCTTTAGAGCCGGTTTATGGGCAGCTTCAAGCTACCGCCTCTGTTCTCCGTCGAGGGCATTGCTGATTACACCACGTTCCTCAGTTGACAAGAAATCAGAGAATGGACATGGGGTATGCAAGGCGAGCTGGTCTCGTATCACGCTGCTGGTGCAGCTCGCCTCTCTCGTCATCCCATGCGGGAAAAGAGGTGTCAGACTGATTGCCGACCACATCCTCAGCGAGGCCACTCGGCACTGAAAGCGTGCGCGGAGTGCGACGTTTGTGCTCATCGAGCCTAGGATATACACCCCTCGGTACTGCGGAGGCACTGCCTGACGTTGCACCGAGTGTGGGAGATGGAGTTGGGCTCTGCCCATGCTTGCTAGACTTGGAGATTTTGGTGTCATTGACAGGCTTATTGAGCAAGGAAGTTGTTTGTTTCGACAAATGGAGTTGCAGTGTCTAACGGACACGCGAGCCTCGTTCAGGCAAAAGTTGATTAAGCCTATAAATGTTCTCAGTCTTAATGGGGGAGGGTGTAACGGGGTTACACGAACCCTAATAACAGGGGTGTGTGTGTTACACGAGATGTGCATAATGTGACAACACACCCAAACAAGAATACGGTACGGGGCTAGGTAGCCAGTAGTGATGCATGTATTTAGATTTTACTATAAATATTTAGTATATTTAGGATGATCTAAACTTTTAACATTAGGATAAAAACATGAATAAAAATCAGTTTCGATTTTAAAAAAAGTGCTCGTTTGCCTTGGTTAAGGCTTTTAAGTACCCTTAAGGGCAGCGGATTGCTGTCCGCTGCACTAGTACTTGGTTCTTGTAAAGAAGGAAGGTCCGTGAGTTAAAGACGCTTACTCAAGTGCAAAGCTACAACAACCCCGCTGCACAGAGGGAAATATTTTTTAGTTTTGAGCTAAAAAATGGATGCTCGTCACCAGCGACCTCACACTTGGGCTGTTTGTGATCCCACTGACGTCTGGGGAAGGCCTTTTCTAAATTTTATCACCAGCGCATTCTTATAGCTGATGGACGCCTCCAGGCAAGTGATTATCGCTTCTAGCTCTTGTTAGTCTTCCAATGCTTTTGAGACCAACGATAGGCATACGCTTAACAAGCCCCTTCAGTCGTCCTGAGGACAGGTGAATGAAACAACTTGTGCTCCATCCTCGCAGAAGATACAGTCTTTCAACGATTTGGTCGTCGCATTGACGACAAGGCTATTAAGTACCTTAGTGCAACGCGCACGGCAAAAAGCTGTCGTACACCTTGCACAAAGGAGGCGTTGACTGAGAAATCCACGCATACTGGAGCAGAACCCCGAGCCTCTTATTATGCCAAATACTTATTTGCTTCGCTATTCATGAGTGACATATCTAGTTGTGATTCTGCTTAAATTAATGCTATATCTGCATTTGACGAAAAATATTAAAAATCAAACTATTTGTTCTGCTTGACGGGAGGATAAAAGTTAAAAAAAAAGGTCCCATCGTCTTCCGTGGTACCTTTGGCAGATCCCAACCCCCACAATAACTTTGAATTGTAGGGTGAATTTTGTACAGCTGTGCAATATTTCATGATTCGCAAGTGTAAGCCGTTAGTACAGTACGTATCCAATTACATTCCCTTTACTTGAATACGATCAAAGATATTTCATGCGTTCATCGGCGTGATGTTGTGTAGGAAAATCACTTATTCCCCCTTAATGAGCCAAATCGCTACTTTGAATAAAAAGTATGACTGCTAAGCAATAAATCTTTTACTATTATTGCTTGTAACAGTAGTACACTAGGTAGTACAAAAATGGTTATCGGTGAGACTGCACCACTCCTATCTGTCCAGCAAAAACAAGTACAGAATGACTCTCCGGGAGCTCGTGCGCATTGGCTCTCACGAGTCACATTTAGCTGGCTTGGACCTTTACTAGTCCAAGGGGCTACTCGTCCACTTCAAGCCGAAGATCTTTGGCAATTAGAGCCTGAAGATGATGCTGCGCGAGTGACCAACACTCTACGTCAAGCGAGTAATAATAACCAATCGTTGTGGGTTTCAATCCGCAAAGGTTTTGGCTTCAACATGTATGTTGCCGGGGCGTGTAAATTGTTCGGCGACTGTTTTGGCTTCATTGGACCCATTTGTATTAATGCGCTTATTAAATATGTGGAAGATCCAAGTCAAACCATGTTTTCAAGTCCTTATTATGGCTACATTCTCAGCTCTATACTCTTCATTGCGTCTATCATGCAAACTTTATGTCTCCATCAACATCATCATTTGGTCATTCGAGAAGCAATTCGAGTGCGCACGGCACTTACAATGCTCGTATATGAAAAGTCTCTTAAGTTATCATCACAAACTAAGAGCTCAATAGGCTCAGGGCGAATTTTAAATTTGGCGACAATTGATGCAAATCGCATTCTTGAGCTCTTTTACATGATTCATTATGCATGGGCTGCACCACTTCAATTGATTCTTGGTATGTTGTTATTGGTGCATTTTATTGGAATTGCATCGTTTGCTGGCGTCTTTATTATGATCATTCTGTTGCCTACAAGTGCAGTGTTATCATCTCAAGCAGCCAAAGTTGTTCAAAAGATGTTAAAATGTACTGATCAACGTCTCAAAGTGTTGAATGAATTGTTTCAACATATTCGAATCATTAAACTTTATGCTTGGGAAAGCGAAATGCTCTTTCAATTAGAAGCAATTCGAGGTAAAGAACTACATCTTCTCAAAAAGACGATCCTTTGGAGTGCGTTTGGGAATGTCATTCTTCAAGCTGGTCCGATACTCGTGTCATTTGGAACATTTGTCGCATATTCCTACGTTCAGAATGAACCATTAACAGCTGACAAAGCATTTACTGCTATCTCGTTGTTCAGTATTTTTCGGCTACCATTGATGGTGTTACCTCATGTCTTTTCGCTCATTTTTCAAGCTAATGTATCTATCAAGCGACTCGAGTCATTTTTGCAACTCAAGACTCAGTCACGCCAAACGTGTTTACTGTCACCATCCATAGATTCCAATTCATCATATGAAATTCGCCATGCTACATTTAAGTTGTCGGATGAGAGCCAAGAATTGTTGGATGAAAGCACAAAAGAAACTGCAAAGAGAGCAACTGGGTCTTCGGCTCAATTATCCAATATCACCATCTCGATTCCAAAAAACAAGTTAACTTTGATCGTTGGAGCTGTCGGAACCGGCAAGTCAACACTCCTTTCAGCCTTACTTGGAGAGATGCAGCCTGAGTACGGTGTGGTTCAAATTCCAATCAAAAACATTTCTTACGCTGCACAAACGCCATATTTGATCAACGCAAGCGTCGAAGACAACATACTATTTGGTGCTTCATTGGACAAAGCTCGTCTTCATCGTGTAATTAAAAATTGCGAGCTAGAAAAAGAACTTGTCAGTCTTCCAAACGGATTTAAGAGTGAAATCGGTGAGAATGGTGTGACACTAAGTGGTGGACAGAAACAACGTCTGTCAATTGCACGAGCCATGTATTTACAGAATCAAGAGATGTACATATTTGATGACTCATTATCTGCTTTAGATGTGCATGTGGCTACTCGTATTTTCAACCAGTGTTTTAGCGAAAAGACGGGTGGCGAATTAACTGGTCAGACGCGAATTCTAAGCACACACTCTCTACAATTTGCTCACTTAGCAGACTGGATTATTGTTATTGAGAACATGCGGGCTGTTGAAATGGGGACATTTTCTGACTTGACGCAACTAACGCCCAATGGCAAATTTGCAACGATGTTCAAGGCCTTTCAATGTCCTGACGAGATTGTTGAGAAGGATACGTTGGGCCAACAAGCGGACTGTGAGAATGTGACTCGATCAAAAGCTCGATCGGACTCGAATGCTGATGGTCACGCCGTTAGTGGCAGCGGCATCCTGATTCAAGATGAAGAAAAGGCTGAGGGAGAATTATCGTGGCGCATTTATACGTCGTATTTTATTTCCTGTGGTACCGTTTCGACAATTGGAGCGCTGGCGCTTTTAATTGCGATGCAGGTAACATCTGTATCAACGGATTTGTGGCTAACGAATTGGACTAATAACAAACCCACTGGAGTGAGTTTGACCTTTTATCTCACTATCTACGCTTATCTTGGCTTAAGCACAATTATGCTGGAGTTTGTGGGCGAGTTATGTTGTCGTTTTGCTGGACTGAGGTAATTCTCGCCTTTTCGAGATGAAGCTGCAGTCTGCTAACTTTCGATATGTGTGCAGTGCTTCCAAGAAGATACATCACCATTTCCTTCGGCATATGATAAAAGGAACAATGCAATTTTTTGACACAACACCCGTTGGTCGGATATTAAATCGTTTTTCGAGCGACCTTAACACTATAGGTGCGTGATGAACTCAATCGAGTACTTTGAAATCTAAATTTTGTTTTGTATACTCATAAACAGACACAAAGCTCAATTCATCTATCGTCCAATTTGTGACCATGTTTTTGGCTCTATTAAGCATGTTAGCGATACAGAGCTCGACTGCTCCAGTCTTGTTACTTCTACTTATCCCTGTCTTTATCTGCTACGTTGCATACCAGCGGTTCTATGGAAAATCTTGTCGAGAATTGCAGCGTTTGGACAATATTTCAAAAAGTCCCCTTTACGCACACTTTACGCAGACTCTCAACGGTTTAGTTACGATCCGAACGTTCAATATGGTCAAACAGAGTGAACAAATGCAAGCTTTGAAATTAAACGAAAATACAAAAGCTTTCTTGCTGTTGAATCTGATCAATCGCTGGCTTGGTGTACGACTGGAGTTTCTAGGCGCACTGATTACATTAGCGGTTGCTGTTTTTGTCAGTCGTGATCATTTCACGATTTCGAGCGCTATGGCAGGATTACTGTTGAGCTATTCTCAAAATATGACTTCTCTCCTCAATTGGATAATTCGCAATCAAATTGATATGGAGAACAATATGAACAGTGTTGAACGAATCGATGAGTATTGTCGCGTAGAGACTGAACCAGTGACATTGCTGACACATCATTTTGAGCGTTATACCTGTGCAAAGTCCCGCACGCTGCAATTGCGGCCACACTGGCCCGAACATGGTAAGCTTGACTTTGTAAACGTCTGTGTGCAGTACGACCCACTTTTACCACCCGTGCTGAACAATATTTCATTTTCAATAAATGGTGGAGAAAAAGTGGGCATTTGTGGACGAACAGGAGCTGGTAAAAGCTCGCTGCTTCTAGCCCTTTTTCGTATGGTCTCGTTCTATCATGGCAATATCTACATAGATGAAGTCTCAACTGATGCATTGACTCTTACTGAATTGCGCTCTCGAATGGCAATCATTCCACAAGATCCAGTGCTTTTTGCAGCTAGTGTTCGTATCAACCTTGACCCAACAGGACAAGCCACCGATGAGGATTTGTGGAATGCTATTCGGAAATCTCGATTAGAATCATTCATCAAAGGTTTATGTGGTGGTGTTGACGCTCAGGTTCTTGAAGGCGGGGACAATTTTAGTGTTGGAGAGCGTCAACTTATCTGTCTGGCACGTGCGATATTGCGACATTCCAAGATATTGTGTCTGGATGAAGCAACTGCTTCAATGGATCACTCCACCGGTAAGAAGAGATGCAAGCATGCTATTCTGATGATACATGAATGGACAATAAAAAAATTGTTAATGTTTCTCCAGATGAGTTTATTCAGGCGTCAATTCGTAGCGAATTTGCTAAAACGACAGTGCTGACAATAGCTCATCGAGTAGAGACCATTCTGGATTACGACAAGATATTGGTGCTCAAGCACGGCCAGATTACGGAATTTGGCACGCCATCCGACCTACTCAACAAACCGAATGGCGAGTTCGCTAGCATGCTGAACCCTAAACAATAGCAAATGACGTTTTCGTGAAGATGATGGTCGTATCGGGTACATACGTACGTATTGGGCTTGGATAGTTGGCAATATTCCAGTATTGACTCGGCTCGTTCCGTGTTATACTTACGTCAGCTTAATGGTAAGCGTGTTGTGGTTTTTCATATGCTTAACATGACGAGTAAAAATTTGATTGCGAGATAACATATCTCGCAATCAAATTTTTGCCCAGCAGCTTACTCTTGTCTGATGCTCTCGTTGTAAGAATTATACAGCTATTTGTTAAGTTCTCGTTAGAAATTGCAAGGTGATTGCTTAGCGTCGTGTCTTTTGTTTTCAGATATTAAAAATGAAGCCAAGAAGTTTGTAGTCAAAGACTATGCAATATGATCAAACAATCTTTTGTATTCTCTTGTCTGTAAGATTCCAAGTCTCGAGATCGAAAGCGTTCTCTGCAATCTCATCGAAATGTGTCGAATTCTCTTTACATCGAAAGTCAATCGGTTCAGCTCTATTTCGTCTTCGCACATTGCAACTGGCTTTTTCGACTTGCTGTCGCTTCTCATGAACGATCACACGTTAAGCACCCAATATTAATTTATGTGTTAATTCTAAAATGATCAGCTCAGCAATCACGTCGCCATTTATATCACAACAGCAAAGCTCTGGCTCGCAGCAAATTGAATGTTCTTCGTATCATCGTTTATCATCACGGCGGGGTACTGACTGAAAAGAATGTTGCTCGAACTCACGCACTAATGTGGTCAGTCTCGTTTCTATGAAAACCTGGCGTTTGTTCACGGTCATAAACGACGACAAACATCAGTGTTAGACTGGCTTTGTAGCGACATTCATTACATGTGCGTATATGAGGAATCGCTCCCGTTTCATAGCCACTTTATGCAGCGAATAAGATTCAAGTATTTTGTGTACGGATCATCAAACGAGAAGAACTTCAGACACTTATGACCTGAAATTGCCGTCAACATTTATACGCACACAACAACTGCTTACCGCTTTTGATGTTGCTGATTGTGTAGTATCAGCAAACGCGGCGCAAGTTTTGTAATGTCTCGAGTGGCTACGAAAGTGGACATGGAATGAGATTACGGCCAAAGTTTATCTATTCATAATTAAGATTATTCGAGATTAACGAAGATTCTGATCGCAACCTTCTAGCATTATCATAGTTACTCCATGTGTAATTTCAGCTACTTGACTAAAAAATGAATCTTAGTACTGGCTGTAACACGAACTTGGCTTGTGTAATGCATTCTTCATCGGATTCAGCACCTTTGCCTATCCGCAAGCGATCAGTCAGCATAATCGCCACACGTAAACCAGTTGGAATGTCGCAATCTGGAAACGCCATATATATAAACGTGCCTGTGACTCAGCTTGAACATATGAAACCTGCTAAATTATACTCATAATTTGTAAGATGTTATGTGATATCGTCAGTAAAATAAGGCTACAAGTTGGTTGCTAATTCATTGATAATTAAGGCAGTGAAGGTATCAAATTCTCTACAAAATGATATTAAGCAATCTTTGCTATTATGCTGCTCATTTCATGTGATTTCTGTAAGTAACTTCCCTCTTGTTTCTTGGCCGAACCATTTCATAATTATAATTGAGTGTAAATCTTACGCGTTTCCATTGGCTGAATTTCCGTCTGAACGTTCCCAGATGATACCTTGGTCATTTTATTACTTTCAATCCTATCCTCAATCATATCAATATTGCTTGGCTTATTGAAAAGACAGCTAAGATTTATACAAATGGTCAAGCTTGAAGTGAACAATCAATCAGTTTGTCGGATAATGACTTTCATCAATGGTGATGTATGTTTAAACGCAGTATTCCCCTCACGTTCACTATTTCTGCTTTCACCGAGGCGACTTGTCAATCACCAATACATGGGAATTGTTGCCACAATGAAAAGTTGAATTATTGTTTTTCTATAAGATACTTCTAATGATATCGTTATATCACTAACTACATTTAAGATCTTAAAATACAGTCAGTGATTATTAAGCAATGCACCCACAAAGCGAGATATTCTAAATGGCAGGCTCTACTTGATCTTGAAAGGGTGCCAAAAAAACGCAGATTGTTACTTGATGATGACCACGTCGGAACATAAACTTGCAAATCTAGGGATGAAAGAGTTCGAAAATGTGCGCGTTTGCGTTTAATCATGTCACTTCTCGAATGGCCTGTCGACGTTGCATACATACACGCGCTGTATTGCACATACCGTAGAAGGACTATCTGCCACGAACGCCTTCCCAGCCCTGGTGTCAAGCTGGCTCTGAGCCTCTGCGCTAATCTTTCGAAATGGTGCCAGAGTAGCAATGAGCTCAAGCACTGGCTTCATTCTCCTAAGGATCTTGCAACCTTTACCGACGCTCGCCTTTCAGACATGTACCACCTAAACCATTAGTACATTCTCCATATGTCCTACCGCACCGTTATGTAGCGAAGATAAGATAAACGTCTATCCTCACGCACCCTCCCGTCAAGTCGCGAGTGGCCACTCCATGTGTACCTTTTTAGGTACGAAGGACTGCAAAGCACGGCCGACGACTGGTGTGACACCGAGACGCTGTAGTCCGTAAAAAGCACCCTCCACAGCCCAATCGCCAGTATTTTTTCAGCCGCATAGCCAGGCGAGTCGATATTAAACCTGTCGTGACGCTTCAAAACGTGCACAAATGGGATTGAATTCTCAACGTAGTTTTTTCTTGCATCTAAAGAAATCATCAACATCATTGTGTTGGTACACGTCATTGTCGGGACATGACAAACCGTTGATGTATCATGTTGGTAGTAGCAGCCATGATTTTCTTTTTTGTCTGAGCAGTTTAAAGAAAAACGTGAACAAAAAAGTGCAGAGACTTAAGGTTGTTGGAATTAAGAATGGAAGAGTCGGAGACTTTGATGGTTTTTATAGTGTTTGATGCACTAAACGTTCGATTGGATTCCCTTGCCTGGAACCAAACGGCTTTTGGGATTGAAGGCCGGGGGCCAAAATTATAGTCCAGGATCGAGTCCCGTTTCTGGAGCTTCTCTTGCTGGCGTGCGCTCTGTCCGCAGCCGCAAGGGCAACTCTCATTCGCTGAATTCCTACGCACGACTTTGACATTCTCGTCTGTCGGCACGCAACGCGCGCCTTGCTGTAGATACTGTCCAGGCTGTGTGCGATCGGAACCATTTCCCATTTTAGGACGTCAGCCAGTCTATAAATTCGCGCAGACTGTAAGAGACTACACTTTGTTTGAGCGACAGCAGCTTTTTATACGAGCTCTGCCACTCGCTGTACTTCGAGAACGATCACATTACATACACAAGAGCCATTGAATCGAGAGCGTTGGGGGGCACGCCTTGCTCGAATCGGTCAATTACTCGTGCATTGCTTAATTAAGCCTTTCATGGTCACTTCTGTCCCACCCCCTGCGATTACTACGCAACCAATGCCCAGACTAGACACCTCGACTACAAATACCAACACTCGATCGCCAAATAAAGAGCTCGTTAGCGCTATGTTTCATCATTATGCGATCAATCTTCCTCTTATGACTCCACCCGTCGTCAGTGATAGAACAAGTCTTACAAATAGCAGTACTGAACCATCACCTCAAGCTACAAGTATGGAATTCAAGGCTTTATACGAAACAAGAAGTCGAGATCAAGATCATGAACCAGAAGAACAAGACGAAAGTTGGAATCACGAGATTGATGAAGCCGAAGAGCTTCGAGAGACGCTACTTCGACGATCTACAGGTTCCATTGCAATTATGACACGCCAACAGGAAGCGTTTGATTATCGACGTCATACGTTCAGTGTTATGTCTGCAGAGAGTCGCGCGAGTATGAGAAGACGAAGTTTTGACTTTACTGCACAATTTGGTCACACATATCCACCTACTTCGTCTTCGCTGCCACTCTCGCACTCATTAAACGCACATCAACATTTAAGAGTTTACGGGAAGAGCACAAGTCCTGCAAAACGTCTCAGTGAGTGTCACGAAAAAGGTGCTCCTTTTGTAGCTCTTGTGGCTCCCCATTCAGTCACAGTTTGGACACGAGGGAAACCTGTGATGATTGAATGGAAAGTTTTGGATACCAAGGTCGAGAAACTGTGCATTGAATTACTAGAAGATGGTTTGAATGCTACGACACTCATTGCAAAGGAAGCTCCGAATTCGGGTTTTTTTACATATCCGAAAGTACCGTGGGGTATGGAGTCAGGATCAAAGTATTTCCTGCGTATTTCAGCGTCTGAGGATCGGGAGCGTTACTGCACAAGCAGCTTCTTCCAGATCAGTTCTGCCCCATGATGTGTATACGAATCCTATCGTATAGCATGGAGATATAAGTTTGAGATAAGAGGAGGTGAAGGCTATTTAATGTAATTGTTTAAAAAGAAGGGTATAAATGGTGCAAGTGCTGTATTTTATAAATATGTTTTAGTTTTATGCTAAATGTAAGGTTTATGTTACAAATTATAAGGTTACTACTCTCTCTGGTGAAGTGAAGTGAAGACTTTGATATCAGAAGTTTTTGTCCCTATGCTTGCGAAGAAGTGCCGTTGACTAAATGTCTACATCTAGTGGAATCCAATTTAATGATTGGCGTCAGTTTTACGGATATCTATAGCACCCAGACCAGTATTTCTCACGTTTACGATTTTGCTTACGACATTTAAAAAGCTAAAAAAAAGGAGAAGTGCTATATTCTAGAATTCTACATCCAAATCTTAAATCTGATTCCTTCCTATGTGCATCATCATCTTGCGTTTCTTTTGTTTATGCTAATATGAAAGCAGTAGAATCCTGTACGCACGAGTGTTCGTGCGTACCGTTGCATGTTGAAGGGATAAGTATAGTCGCAAGTTGCTGCAGTTTATCACCCAATTGCTTCAGTTGCTTTTTACTTTCTAAAGTTCTAGCGGCGAAAGGGAGGGAGATATATCCAAATAAAACTGACATGCAAAACCCGCTCTAAGTACGTCCAACAGTTGCGTATCATCTAAAAAGAAGTTGAAGTAGGATCTAAACTGAATTCTTGTTCATGTGACAGAAATGGCGCCCGACTGATCTGTTTACTAAGCTAATTTCTTAATCAGTATTGTTCTTGATTTTTTTATGAAATGTACTGACTTATTGTAATCTAATTTTGTGTAACGTACCTCATCTAGGAAGGGAAACCCGCCAAAGTATTAGCACAAGCGCCAAAGTGAACAGATTGCTTCACTAAAGATGGCACAGCGTAAGACACGAGCGACCACAGCTGCCGAGCGACTTGCTGCAAGCAATAATGTAGCATCTACACGTGCCCTACATCGTCAAAAATCTACAGTAACAGAAGAATCTAAAACAGAGGACCCGGACTCAGATCATGACCAAGTTCAGAATCAGACGCCGCGAGCAAAACGTGCCACTCCTTCAAGCGACATTTTTTCTGGCACATATTTGTCTTACACAGGACATAACCCTTCTGTATTAAGCAAACGATTGAAACAAATGTGGCAATCATTGCAAACGACGTCAAGTCATCTGGAACAACAAGAAGACGGAGTGTTGGATATTCATGCAACACAAAAGTTGCAACTTGTGGCAACAGAATTGTTGCAAGAAAAGCTTTTGCACCACCAAGATAATCACGTACGTTCTCTCTTGGCGTGTTGTTTAGTTGAATTATTACGTTTATCTGCACCTGATTCGCCATTTGATTCTCAAGATGATTTGTATCGAGTTTTTCAATTATTTATTGAACAGCTTCAAGCTCTTGGTAAAAAAACGACGACAAAAATTACCGAGTTGCAACAAATGCATATGCTTGAAAGTCTCGCAACAGCCAAAACATGTCTCTTAGTGGCAAATCTTGACACAACTTTGCATGGTGAAAAAAGAATGATGGTCCAAGTATTTGAAACTCTTTTTGACCTTATTGACCACAAACATTCTGTCAAATTGGAACATTTGATGATAAATTTCATGGTGACATGCATTGAAGAAAGTAATGATGTGGATATTTCACTTTTGGAAGTATTGATACAACCATTTGTGAGTACTGACGTAAGATCTGCAACAAATGACACCACAATCAAGTTCTCGACACGTTTGGCTGAAGAAATAATTGGTCGTACGAGTGAAATATTGCAAAGTCCCTTTTCGCAATATTTCAACAATGTATTGGTTGAGACACCAACCCCATCACACGTTTACGCAATCATTGCGCATTTATACAAAATTACACCATCGCTGTTGCATTCTGTGTTGCCAACTATATGTTTGCAACTACAAGCTGAAAATATTACTATTCGAAGCAATGCAATAACATTAATTGGCAATATATTAGCGTCCTCACCTGGAAATTTCAATTCTGAGTTATTGAAAATTTTCCGTGATTTTCTTACTCGATTTCGAGATACAAGTAAAGAAATTCGTATTTTAATGATTCAAAAAAGTATTTTAATTTGGGAATCAAAACAAGAAGTAAGTGAATGGATTGAAAAAGAATTAAGTTTACGAGCATGTGATCCAGAATGGGAAGTTCGACAAGTTGTTGTGCATGAAATTTGTGACTTTGCTGCGAATTCTTTGGATATTGTAAGTGAAAAGTGTTTACGAGCAATTGGTGAGCGAATGAAAGATAAAAAAGTGATTTTAAGAAAAGAAACCATGACGGGATTGAGTCAAGTGTTTAATCGACACATTTCAACGTATTGGGAAGAACAAGATGAGATGGAAG